GTTATTCCCGGCGGATTTCCCGGCTGGGACGTGCCTTCCTCTCCAACACAACTCCTCGCCACCCCTCGCGGGTCCCAGAGGGATTTGGGGGTCACCGCCACTGCCGTTTTCCGGGGTTTTCCCACTCCTGCCATTCCCGACCTTCCCCCCACCCTCAGACGTGCCGGAGCTCAGGCAGCTCCTGCTAAAACCGGGAACGGGGGGGGATCGGGGGATTGACCGACGCTTGGAGAGCTCATAAACTCCCTTCCCTCGGGAAAGAGCGCTAAAAATAGCTCCGGGAGGCCGGGGAGGGATGGAGAGGCTGGAGAGGGCAGGAAAGGGCAGGAGATGCTCAGGGAGGCTTTGGAAAGGCAGCCGCGGGCACTGCCGGAGGGTCCATCCCAAAATCCATCCCGAAATCCATCCCGAACAGCCGGAATGGGGAGATTTGGGAATTGCTGGGGAGGGGATGGTGAAGGGAGGGATCAGGGATCGGGATGTGAGGCTGGGTGGAGAATGAGGGGATGGGAGAGAGGGACATGAGGAACGGAGAGAGAGGGACACAGGGATGGGACATGAGGAGCTGGGAGAGAGGGACGTGAGGAGCTGGGAGAGAGGGACACGAGGAGCTGGGAGAGAGGGACACGAGGAGCTGGGAGAGAGGCACACGAGGAACAGGGAGAGAGGGACATGACGAGCTGGGAGAGAGGGATACAAGGAGCTGGGAGAGAGGGACATGAGGAGCTGGGAGAGAGGGACATGAGGGGCTGGGAGAGAGGGACAGGAGGAACTGGGAGAGAGGGACAGGAGGAGCTGGGAGAGAGGGACAGGAGGAATAGGGAAAGGACACGAGGAGCAGGGAATGATTTGGAACAGGGAGAGAGGGACACGGGGAACAGGGAAAGAACACGAGGAGCAGGGAAGGGACACAGGGAACAGGGAAGGGACACGATGAACAGGAAATGACACAAGGAGTGAGAAGGAACAGAGAGAGAGGGACACAGGCAAGAGGGAAGGGACAAAAGGAACAGGGAGAGAGGGACACAAGGGGCAGGAAGGGACACAAGGAGCTGGGAGGGAGCACACAGGGCCGGGATGGATCAGGGGGTGCTGGCAGCCGGTGCTCAGGTGATGCTCAGGTGATGCTGTCAGGTGATTCTCTCTGGTGATGCTTTCAGGCAATGCTCAGGTGATGCTGCCACGTGGTTGTCTCAGGCAATGCTCAGGTGATGCTCAGATGGTGCTCAGGCAATGCTCAGGTGATGCTCAGGGGATGCTCAAGTGTTGCTCAGGTGATGCTCAGGTGATGCTGCCAGGTGGTTGTCTCATGCACTGCTCAGGTGATGCTCAGGGAATGGTTTCAGGTGTTGCTCAGGTGATGCTCTCAGGTGATTCTCTCTGGTGATGCTTTCAGGCAATGCTCAGGTGTTGCTGCCAGGTGATACTCCAGTGATGCTCCAGTGATGCTCAGGGGATGGTTTCAGGTGTTGCTCTGCAGTGATGTGCAGATGATGCTCTCAGGTGATTCTCCCCAGGTGTTTCTCAGGTGATGCTTGAGCCAGGCTGCAGTGGTGCTCTCAGGTGTTGCCCAGGTGTTGTTGTCTGGTGATGCTCTGGTGATGTTTTCTGGTGATGCTTTCAGGTGTTCCCCAGGTGTTCCCCAGGTGATTCCCAGGTGTTCCCCAGGTGTTCCCCGGGTCTTCCCCAGGTGTTCCCCAGGTGTTCCTCAGGTGATCCCCAGGTCTTCCCCAGGTGATTCCCAGGTGTATCACAGGTGATTCCCAGGTATCACAGGTGTTCCCCAGGTGTTCCCCAGGTGTTCCCCAGGTGATTCCCAGGTGTTCCCCAGGTGATTCCCAGGTTGTGCTCAGGTGATGCTCAGGTGATGATTTTTGGTGATGCTCAGGTGTTGCTTTTTCTGGTGATGCTTTCAGGTGTTCCCCAGGTGTTCCCCAGGTGATTCCCAGGTGTTCCCCAGGTGTTCCCCGGGTCTTCCCCAGGTGTTCCCCAGGTGTTCCTCAGGTGATCCCCAGGTCTTCCCCAGGTGATTCCCAGGTGTATCACAGGTGATTCCCAGGTATCACAGGTGTTCCCCAGGTGTTCCCCAGGTGATTCCCAGGTGTTCCCCAGGTGATTCCCAGGTTGTGCTCAGGTGATGCTCAGGTGATGATTTTTGGTGATGCTCAGGTGTTGCTCTCCAGCGATGCTCTCAGGTGCCACTCTCAGATGTTGCTCTCTCTCACATGGATTCCCTCTCCATGGATTCCTGCCCATAAATTCCATCCCATTGACTCCCTCTCCATGGATTCCATCTCCATCAATTCCCACTCCATCGATTCCCTCTCCATGGATTCCTGCCCATGAATTCCATCCCATTGATTCCCTCTCCATGGATTCCATCTCCATTGATTCCCTCTCCATGGATTCCCTCTCCATCAATTCCCACTCCATCGATTCCCTCTCATGGATTCCATCTCCATGAATTCCATCCCATGGATTCCCTCTCCATCGATTCCATCTCCATGAATTCCATCCCATGGATTCCCTCTCCATCGATTCCATCTCCATGAATTCCATCCCATCGATTCCCTCTCCATGAATTCCATCCCATGGATTCCCTCTCCATCGATTCCATCTCCATGAATTCCATCCCATGGATTCCCTCTCCATCGATTCCATCTCCAGTGATTCCATCCCATCGATTCCCTCTCCATGGATTCCATCCCATGGATTCCCTCTCCATCTATTCCCTCTCCATGGATTCCATCCCCATCTCCCGCAGAGAGGATCCCACGGCAGCTCCTCCTTGGAGGAGATCCCACGATCCCATTTTTCCCCTCGCTCCAGCTCCATCCATGTCCCCCCGAGGGTGGCAGTGAGGGGGACGCAGGATTGGGATCAGGGACACAGGATCGGGATTAGGGATTCAGGATCGGGATTAGGGACACAGGATCAGCTCCCCTCAGCATTCCTGGAGGGTTTGGGGGCTGGTCTGGGATCACGTCTGGGATAGGCCTTGGAAAAGGGGCCCAGGAATGCTCCAAGTCCAAGGGAAGAGGTTTGGAGTCTCCTTCCTGTTCCTGCCCACTCCTGGTTTTCCTGGGAGAGGAAAAGAGAATGGAAAAAGAGAAAGGAGGAAAAGTAAAAAAAAAATAAAAAATAAAAAATAAAAAAGGGAGAGGAAAAGCGTAAGGAAGAAAAAGGAGGGAAAGAAGGAAAAAGAAGAAAATGAGAAAGAAATAGGAAGGGAAAGTAGGAAAGTGAAGGAAAAGAAAGGGAAGGTAAGAAAAATAAGGAAAAGAAGAAAAATTTTATTTAAAAGTTCAAATTAGGAAAAGGGGAAAATGAGAATGAGAGAGAAACTAAGAAAGAGAAGGAATGTAAAAGTGATTGGGAGGGAAAAGGAAAACTAAAATGAAACGGAAAACAAAAATGGAAAGGAAATGGAAAAGGAAAAAAGGAAGAAGAGGAAGAGAAAGAAAAATGGTAAGGAAAGATAAAGGGAAAGGAGGGAAAGGAACAGAAAAGGAAAATGAAAAGGAGAAAAAGGAAGAAAGGGAGGAAAAGACAGAAAAGAAAAAAATTAAAAAGGAGAAAGAGAATGGAAGAGTAAGAAAGAGAAGGAGAAGGGAAGGGATGGAAAAGGGAAAGGAAAAGCAGGAAAAGGACAGGAAAATGAGGAACGGGACAGGAAAAGGGGGACAGGGACAGGGACAGGAAAAGGGAGCAGCTGGTTCCTGCCATCCCCCGCCAAGGCCCCCATGCCCGCGGCATCCCGGGATCCATCCGGGAGAGCCGATCCGCGGGCACGGAGCGGGATAAATCCCATCTGCAGCGGCGGGGATTACGGGAGCACAGCTGTTCCCGGGGCCGGATGCGGATGCAGCCCCCGGGTGGCGGGAACTGGGGCACCGGGACAGGGACAGGGACAGGGGACGGATGGAGCGCTCAGGGAGAGCCGATCCGCGGGCACGGAGCGGGATAAATCCCATCTGCAGCGGCGGGGATTACGGGAGCACAGCTGTTCCCGGGGCCGGATGCGGATGCAGCCCCCGGGTGGCGGGAACTGGGGCACCGGGACAGGAACAGGGACAGGGACAGGGACAGGGGACAGACGGAGCGCTCGGCCCTGGAGACCGCCACAATCCCTGATTTCCCCATCTCCAGCGAGTCTGGGATGGGAATTTTGGGAATTTTCCCAAACCCAGGCATGGGGAAGGTGCCTCCACCCAAGGGTCCATCCAAACATTGCCACTGGCACAGCATTCCCAAGATATTCCCAGGATATTCCCAGGAGATGTGGCTACCCCTGGGTACCTGGGAGTGTCCAAGGAAAGGTTGGAGGGAGTTTGGAGCAGCCTGGGATGGTGGAAGGAGTCGGGGTTGGAACAGGATGGGATTGGAGGTCCCTTCCCACCCAAACCACCCCATGATTCCATCATAAAGGACACTCGGAATCCATTCAGAAGGATTTTTATGGAAGTCAGGGGTGGAAAAGAGAGGAAAATGGAAGGGAGACCATTCCTGGAGTCCCCCATTCCCAGTGAAGCCCCTGGATCCTGAAATTCCTTCTCCAGGAGGAGTTGGGATGGGGCTGGATCCAGTGCCAGGCTGGGAGAGCTGGGAATGTGCAGCTGGATCAGGGAAGGATCCAGGGAATCCTTGGAGCCTTTTCCAGAGGCTCCAGGAGAGCTGGAATTTGGGAAAGGGCTGGAGGGCCAGGAGCCAGGGAATGGCTTCCAGTGGGAAAGGGGAGCTTGGGATGGTGGGATCTTGGGAAGGAATTCCTGGCTGGGCTGGAATTCCCAGAGAATCCCTGCATCCCTGGCAGTGTCCAAAGCCAAGCTGGAGCTCCCTGGGATCATGGCAGGTGTCTGGCTTGGAATGGGATGAGCTCTAATCTCCCCTCCCACCCTCACTTCGGGATCCCACACCCCTCCCGTGCTTCCCACCGACGCTCCCCACCCCCGATTCCCGCCGGGATCACGGATCCCACCCCGCTCTCCCTTTCCCCGCAGGCTACGGGCACGCGGCGCCCAGCACGGACGGCGGGAAGGTTTTCTGCATGCTCTACGCGCTGCTGGGCATCCCCCTGACGCTGGTGATGTTCCAGAGCCTGGGCGAGCGCATCAACACCCTGGTGCGCTCGCTGCTGCGCCGCCTCAAGAAGCGCCTGGGCATGCGGCGGCCGGAGGTGTCCATGGCCAACATGGTGACCATCGGCTTCTTCTCGTGCGTCAGCACGCTCTGCATCGGCGCCGCCGCCTTCTCGCACTACGAGAACTGGAGCTTCTTCCAGGCCTACTACTACTGCTTCATCACGCTGACCACCATCGGCTTCGGCGACTACGTGGCGCTGCAGAAGGACCGGGCGCTGCAGACGCAGCCGCAGTACGTGGCCTTCAGCTTCGTCTACATCCTCACGGGGCTGACGGTCATCGGCGCCTTCCTCAACCTGGTGGTGCTGCGCTTCATGACCATGAACGCCGAGGACGAGCGCCGCGACGCCGAGCAGCGGGCGCTGCTCAGCCAGGGAGCTCGCTCCGGAGCCGTGGCCGCCGTCCCCGAGGCCTCCGCGGTGACCCCGGCCGAGAGCGGCTTCCGGAACGTCTACGCCGAGGTGCTGCACTTCCAGTCGGTGTGCTCGTGCCTGTGGTACAAGAGCCGCGAGAAGCTGCAGTATTCCATCCCCATGATCATTCCCAGGGATTTGTCCAGCTCGGACACGGGCGTGGAGCGCAGCCACTCCTCGCCCGCCCGCTGTCCCGAGACTCCGGAGCACCGGTGCTTCTGCCGCTCCCGGCGTTCCGCCATCAGCTCCGTGTCCACCGGGCTCCAGAGCCTGGCGGTGTTCCCGGGATTCGCCAAGCGCCGCAGCTCCGTGTAGCCCCCTCACGCCCCCCAGCCCGGATCCCCCTCACGGAGCGGGAGGAAGCCGCTCCAGACTCGGGAACGACGCCGGAGCGGGGCCATCCCAGTTGGCTCCGGAATGGATTTTAATTTAAAACCTCTTGGATTTTAATTTCACACAAAAAACCCCCCCACTCCTTGAAAATGTGAAACTTGGGAGAGCGGGAGAGCCTCGGAATCTGGCGGGATTGGGGGGCACCTCCCAGTGTGGGCAGCCAGCCCTGGCCTCTCCATGCTCTGGATCCTCGGGAATTCCCCGGGAAGCGCAGAGGGACCTGATGGCCACGGAAATCAGGCTAAGAGGGGCTTAGCCGGAGCTTTTCCACATCAGCCGCCCGGAAAAGCAGCCGGGAGTCACGTAGGCTGCTCCAAACCCTGCGATTTGGGGCTGTCTTAACCCAAATCCGTAGCGGGGCAGAACTGGGAGTCCTCGGGATTTAGCGGGAATCATCCGTGGGAGCTTGGTTGATCCCACAGGATTTCCGTGTCCCTCTGTGCCGAGGGTCTGGGGATGGGATTGTTCCCCTCGGGAAGGTGTTTGGGGGACAGTTTGGGATATTATCTCCTGGGATTCCCATCTCCATCCTCCCCAGAGCTCCAGGGATGGAATTGTTCCCCCTGGGAAGGCATTTTGGGGGAAATCTGGGATATTTTCCCATGGGATCCTCACTTCCATCCTCCCCAGAGCTCCAGGGATGGAATTATTTCCCTCAGAGTGGTTTTTTCAGGGATAATCCGGGAGATTTTCCCTTGGGATCCCCATTTCTGTTCTCTCCAAAGCTCTGGGGATAGAATTGTTCCTCCTGGGAAGGTATTTTGGGGGAAATTCGTGACATTTTCCCATGGGATCTCCATCTCCATCCTCCCCAAGGCTCCAGGGATGGAATTGCTCTCCCTGGGAAGGCATTTTGGGGGAAATATGGGATATTTTTCCATGGGATCTCCATCTCCATCCTCCCCAAGGCTCCAGGGATGGAATTGCTCCCCCTGGGAAGGCATTTTGGGGGAAATCTGGGATATTTTTCCATGGGATCTCCATTTCCATCCTCCCCAAGGCTCCAGGGATGGAATTGTTCCCCCTCAGGGAGGTTTTTTTGGGATATTTTCCCCTTGGATCCCCATCTCCATCCTCACTGGGACCCTGGGAATGGAATTTTTCCCTCAGGGAGGAATTTTGGGGCCCATTATCCCCCGGGATCCCCATTCCCATCCTCACCAGGACTCCGGGGATGGAATCTTTTCCCTCAGAGAGGTATGTGGGGGAAATCTGGGACAACACTTCTCCATCCTTTCCTCCACACCCCTTCCCACCACCACGCTCACCCCGGGACACTCCCGGAATTCCCGGGGATACCCCAGGGGTCACCTCTGTCACCACCACCCCAGCAGGGAAGGAAAGTTTCCCTCCTTTCCCATTCCCGCCCTTCCAGGATGGGATTTTCCCTTCCCAGCACCCAAAGCCCCCTCCAGGGGACACGGAGGGGACACGGGGGGGACCCTCCTGGGGGCCTGGAGGTGGCAGGGGGGACTTTGTCACCTTTCCAGAGAGGAAAAATCCATGGATTTCTGATCCTTGAGATGCACATTTGTCAGATTCCAGAGGATATTTACTACCAACGGCGCTATCCACGGAATTCCAGAAACATCCGTCAGAGAGGAGGCTCGGGGGACACTTCCTGACGATTCCAGGGAGGAATTTCTGCATCTTCCTCATCCAGGGGCGCCCGATTCCTGCCGGGAAGGGTTCCCTGGTTCTCATGCCAAAGCCGATGTGTCCCGCGGGGTTCAATTCCTTGGAGAGAGAAATAAAGGATTGTTGGAAGGTCGGGAGTGTCTGGGATCTTCCCAAGGGATGTGGAAAGGGAGGAGGGGCTGGGAAAGGAGGATCCTGATCCCCTGGGATCTTGACTTTGCTTCTTGTGAGGATTGGGAAAGGAGGATCCCGATCCCCTGGGATCTTGACTTTGCTTTTTGTGAGGATTGGGAAAGGAGGGTGCCGATCCCCTGGGATCCTGGCTTTGCCTCCTGTAATTCCCTTGGGATCAGGGAGGGGAGAGTTCTGATCCTGTGGGATCTCAGCATTGCCTCCAGTTCTTCCCTCAGGATCTGGGAAAGGAGGATCCTGATCCCCTGGGATCTCGGCTTTGCCTCCAGTTCTTCCCTCAGGATCCGTGAGAGGAGGATCCTGATCCCCTGGGATCTCAGCTTTGCCTCCAGTAATTCCCTCAGGATCTGGGAAAGGAGGATCCTGATCCCCTGGGATCTCGGCTTTGCCTCCAGTAATTCCCTCAAGATCTGGGAAAGGAGGATCCTGATCCCCTGGGATCTCGGCTTTGCCTCCAGTAATTCCCTCAGGATCTGGGAAAGGAGGATCCTGATCCCCTGGGATCTCGGCTTTGCCTCCAGTAATTCCCTCAGGATCTGGGAAAGGAGGATCCTGATCCCCTGGGATCTCGGCTTTGCCTCCAGTAATTCCCTCAGGATCTGGGAAAGGAGGATCCTGATCCCCTGGGATCTCGGCTTTGCCTCCAGTTCTTCCCTCAGGATCTGGGAAAGGAGGATCCTGATCCCCTGGGATCTCGGCTTTGCCTCCAGTAATTCCCTCAGGATCTGGGAAAGGAGGATCCTGATCCCCTGGGATCTCGGCTTTGCTTCCTGTGAGGATTTGGAAAGGAGGATCCCGATCCTCTTGGATCTCGACTTTGCCTCCAGTAATTCCCTTGGGATCTCAGAGAGGAAGATCCCGTTCCTCTGGGATCTCGGCATCGCCTCCAGTTCTTTCCCTTAGATCTGGGAAAGGAGGATCCCAATCTTCTGGAAGTTGGGATTCTTCCCTCAGGATCTGGGAAAGGAGG